CACAGGGGTAGGGCATTTAGACTTAGGTTTTTCAGTATCTATTTGGGATTTGAAAGAATATACATCAATAAAAAATAACAGAGGGAAAACTGCTACATTTATGTTGCTGCAGTCTCATTTTCTTAATTCTGGAAGAATCATACAAATTTAAATCCTCCTATACAGCATTATGACATTATTCTTCACTCTCTCTATACTCCAAGCAGAATACATAGTGTGGCTCTCTTATTAATGTTGAGTATTAATACTGATGATAAATGATATGCTTAAATTATACAGATAAATGTGTAACTATGATTCAGGCATTGCTTTAGTTACTCCACCCGGATTCTGTCCACTCACCTTCTGGACAGTTACGCATATGATGAGGATTATGTGCCCCATGGCCCTAAACTGCAGGGATGGTGGGTGACTAAAGTTACATGCTGTTTTAGTCTAAACTCAGTTTCTGTATCCATCTGCTCTTGCCACATGTGATGCCTGAGTGTAACACAGTTGATAAAGCTGGTCAAGTCTTGGGTGTACAGGGCTTCTCCCATGCTGATTTGGGCTCAGGGCTCCCTGAAGCCTTTGGTGTGGCTTCCTTAGAATTCATCAGGCTGGAGAACTTCTACACAACCTTCCTTTCCTCTCACCTGCTTTATGAATTAATCTTGCTTCTCAACAAGACCTACACCAGGCTTACCGGCTTCTCCATTTCCTCTCCTAAAGCTCTCCCTTAGTAGGATCCTCTTGAGCTCAACTTCCTTTCACTATTTATGTCTTGGAGGATCTGGTCTGACACATCTTTTGATATTTGTAAGGTAATTGCATTCTTTCTACACACTGAGAATCCACAATCTGAATAGGGTAAATAACTTTGCAAAAGCTAGAACCCTTGTAAGATATGCAGCATGATTTGTGAAGTCTTGAACATAGTCATTCAGTAATTATTATTGAAAACATTTGAAACCAATGGAAACACATTGGCCATACAATTAGCTTCATGTAAAGGTTTCTTTTTGCTTTCCTTTGAAATACTAGGAGTGGAAGTCAATGTTATGACTCTGAGCTACATCTCCATCCTGTTGCTATTATTTGTCTTTTTTTTTTTTTGAGATATGATCTCACTAAATGAAACAGGCTGAGCTCAATCTTGCAGTTCTCCTGCCTCAGCCTCCCAGAATGCTAAGATCATAGCAGTGCACCAAACACAGTTAGAAATTTTACTCTTTTTAATACTTCACTATAAAGGACTAGAATGTTTATAATTAGGGAGATATACAACTGCCTTCAAAAAAATCTCTTCAGTAAAATTTCCGTGTTTCCAGAAAAATAGTGAAGTAATGGTTATAAGCAAGATTAGAAGACAATGAGAAAGCCATACGTTTTTGCAAGATTTTATCAACATAAGCATAATACAGGCAATGAAAATTGAGACAATTATCTTAATTTCAATGTCTCTAATAACTCTATTATTTCAATTAATCTAATTAATTTACACTCTAGCTTATTTTCAGGCCAGGAGACTTTCTGTTAAGATGTAAGAATATTACTGCATATTAATTGTAGGAATTTCTTACCTTTTCATTTTGTACTTATTTATCAGAGTTAAGTAAGTACAAAAGACTTAGAAAAAGCTC